GTTATGTAAATTGAACGTGAAAGCTATAGAATTCAAAGGAATTTAACTGATATTATTAACATAATAGAATAAATAAAGTTGTTTTTGAGAACAAAATACATATACCTACTTTGAAATTTATATACAAATCAAAGAAACTTCTATTAATTCATTTTTTCGATTTACATTTAAATGAAAAAATTTTAATTTTTTAGTTGAAACGTAAATCAAAGAAATGAATTAATAGAAGTTTCTTTGATTTATGTATAAATTTCAAAGTAGGTATATGTATTTTGTTCTCAAAAACAACTTTATTTATTGCATTAAAGTCGATTAGCTTAGTAAAATTTTGACTTTTATATAGAGAACTATTGGCATTTGTAGATAAAAATATTTGATACTTTAGTTAAAAAATTTTACAAACAAATAGTTTCTCTATATTAAAATCCAAATTTTACTAAACTAATCGACTTTAATGCAATAATTAAAGTTGTTTGTTAAGTTATAGTATGTAAATATTTCTGTTTATAATTTGCTGATTCACACTAATTTAATAAATCATCTTTGTTCTTACTAGTAATAAATATGAATAAATTGATCTGAATATTATTAGATTATGATAGTATATGATAGTATTGTTCTTTCATGATATTTGCAATTATAATTCTACTAATTAATTAACTAGCTTTGTTCTTACCAGCTTATTAATGAAATGAAATGATTTGAATGGAAATAGGTACGGTAAGTATTATTTGCTGTTCTAAATCTATCAATTAAAATAAATAATTTTTGTTTTCACTAGTAGTTTCTGGCCTAATTCAAACAAGTTTAAAATAATTAACCATCACTTCAATAGTTTCTAACCTAATATATAATTATTTTTTAAAAACTTACCTTCGCTTTGATAATTTCTAGCCCAATCTAAACAAGTTTAAAATAATTAACTATCGCTTCAATAGTTTCTAACCTAATATATAATAATCTTTTAAAAACTTACCTTTACTTTGATGATTTCCGACCTAATCCAAACAAGTTTAAAATAATTAACTATCACTTCAATAGTTTCTAATCCAATATTTAATAATATTTAAAAACTTACCTTCACTTTGATGGTTTCTGGCCCAACCCATAACAAGTTTAAAATAATTAATCATCGTTTCAATAGTTTCTAACCCAATATATAATAATATTTAAAAACTTACCTTCGCTTTAGTAGTTTCTGGCCCAACTCATAATAAGTTTAAAATAATTAACTATCGCTTCAATAGTTTCTAACTCAATATATAATAATCTTTTAAAAACTTACCTTCACTTTGATGATTTCTGGCCCAATTCAAACAAGTTTAAAATAATTAACTATTGCTTCAATAGTTTCTAATCTAATATATAATAATCTTTTAAAAACTTACCTTCGCTTTAGGTAGTGATTTCCAGCTTAATTCAAACAAGTTTAAAATAATTAACTATCGCTTTAATAGTTTCTAACCCAATATATAATAATCTTTTAAAAACTTACCTTCACTTTGGTAGTTTCTAGCCTAACCTATAACAAGTTTAAAATAATTAACTATTACTTCAATAGTTTCTAACCCAATATATAATAATCTTTTAAAAACTTACCTTTGCTTTGATGATTTCTGGCCCAATTCAAACAAGTTTAAAATAATTAACTATCACTTCAATAGTTTCTAACTCAATATATAATAATTTTTTAAAAACTTATCTTCACTTTAAGTAGTGATTTCTGGCCCAATTCAAACAAGTTTAAAATAATTAACCATTGCTTCAATAGTTTCTAACCTAATTTATAATAATATTTAAAAACTTACCTTCACTTTGGTGGTTTCTGGCCTAACCCATAACAAGTTTAAAATAATTAACTATCGCTTCAATAGTTTCTAACTCAATATATAATAATCTTTTAAAAACTTATCTTCGCTTTGATGATTTCTGGCCCAATTCAAACAAGTTTAAAATAATTAACTATCGTTTCAATAGTTTCTAACTCAATATATAATAATCTTTTAAAAACTTACCTTCGCTTTGGTGATTTCTGGCCTAACCCATAACAAGTTTAAAATAATTAACTATCACTTCAATAGTTTCTAACCTAATATATAATAATCTTTTAAAAACTTACCTTCACTTTGATGATTTCTAGCCCAATCTAAACAAGTTTAAAATAATTAATCATCGCTTTAATAGTTTCTAACCTAATATATAATAATCTTTTAAAAACTTACCTTCACTTTGATGATTTCCAGCTCAATCCAAACAAGTTTAAAATAATTAACCATCACTTCAATAGTTTCTAACCCAATATATAATAATCTTTTAAAAACTTACCTTCACTTTGATGATTTCTGGCCCAATCCAAACAAGTTTAAAATAATTAACCATCACTTCAATAGTTTTTAACCCAATATATAATAATCTTTTCAAGCTTCTATGTCTTTGCATTAGCTCTTTTAGACTTCTTTATAGAACAGTTCAGTCTAGTTATACTAAAACATATATCAGAATCTAATCATTATCTTTTTTGACTCAACTATATCTTTAATTTTGAACACATCTTCTTTATTAAAAATTTCTCTTAGCTATTTAATTTGTATTTGATTTTTTTCTCTCAAATTACTGTTTAACATCTGCTTGAAGCTTTTAGGTTCTATTCTTTTTCTTTTCTTTCAACTTCAAGAAGTTGCTTTTATATTTTTTTTTCGATTTTTATTAAAGCTAATTGTGACTTCTCATATTTGATCAGATAATTAATTGATTCTTTTTCTTTTGTACACCTCTTGCAAAGACTATCTTTATATAAATATAGCTTTCTATTGTTTAATACTTCTATTGTTAGAAAGATATTTTTGATATACTTGATTTTGAGCAGATGTAGATAATTTGCTTCTAAGCTAGAAAATTGCTTATAGCAGCCTTCTAATATTCTTTTAAAAGCTTTCTTCTCTTGCTTTTGAATTTTGAGTTAATGTTCCTTGTTCTTCTTTTTTCTTAGCTACATTCATTCTGCTTTGTAGATTACTTGAACAGTTCTTTTAATAAAGGCTCTTAGTAGGGTTTTCAGATTTGTATTTTTCTATTCTGAAATAAATCTTATGCTACTATTACTAATACTGTTGATTTCTGTAATATGAGATTTTTGTGAGCTTTCTAAAAATATTATCTGAATAGTCTTTAACTTTAGTAAAGCTTAGTTAGATTAATTTGCTTATATTTGCTTTCTTAATTGCTCGTAAAATATTGCTATTCTTAGACTTAAACTATTTATATATTTTTTTATATTTCAGACAATTTTTGATTGCTACTATAGCATATGTGCTATCTGTTCAAATTTCTACTTTGTACTTGTTAGGTGCTAAAAAAATTGTAATTAGATATACTATTATTTCTATATAAGTAGATGAAAACCAGTTTTGAATTCTTCTTCTATAGCTATAAACTACATTATTTATACTATCTACTTAGACTATACTATAACTTATTCTTGATTCTTTACTACTTTCTCTTCTCCCAAGTGAGCTGTCAGTATAAAAAACTATTTTGTTCTTTTTTTTATTTGCTTCTAATATTATTTTAAGCTCCTTTCTAATTTCTGTGTTCTGAACTATTTGATTGATTAATTCCACTTCTCAGCTACTTTCTACTTCAATTACTTCAAGGTTCTTAAACTTTTTGAAATCTTCTACTTTCTTTTTCTTAGTACCTTCTTCTATTTTTTCTAAAGCTTCTCTATTAAATATTAGATATAGTGTGTTATCTTTTTTCTGAATATATCTTGAAATATTTTGTACTTCTTTCAGTGCTATTTTCTGATTTTTGTTTTCTTTTATGAGCTTTGAATTCTCTATATATATATTTTTTTTTAACAGTATTCTTCTATCTGATTTTTTTGATATTCTTTCCATGTTTTTACTTTAATTAATCTTTTCTCTTTTTTGACAATATAATCAATTTGACTTTTCTGATTCTCTTTTCCTTTTACTAGTATCTATTCTTTTTTTCTTTTATCATCTGATATTTTATCTTTGCTTCTTTAACTTAAAAATTCACCTATCTTCCTGTACTTCTCTTTAACTTCACTTGTTTCAATATTTTCTAATATTTCATTTTCTTATACTTCAAACTACTTTATTTTCTTTCTAATATATTTCTTTCCTCTGCTTATTTTGAGCTACCTTTAGGTTAGCATTCTTTCTTTTTTACTTTCAAGAAGCTAATTCATATACTATAGATTAAGAGCTTTTAACTCTGACTATACTTCTTTTATCTCATTATTGCTTAAGATATTATTAAGAAAATGCTTGTTTCTCTTTTGTAAATTTAAGATATTCCAACTTGCTATGAATTTATTCTCAACAATATTAATCTCTAACCTTTTTGTATATTGTAATACTTTAGCACCTAAGTTTCTATACTTAATTCTTTTCTACTTTATATTATCTGATAAGAAAATATATTTTGGCATACTTATATCTAGTTGAAACTGCTTTAGTCTTATAAGCATTATTATTTCTACTATACTATTTGTATTTATTCTTATGAACAATTTAGATATATGATGCTCTAAATACTTTTACCATAAACTCATTACACCAAAGATTTCTTTATATAATATAGTACCATATTATCGCGAAATAATGCCTATAGGCATTATTTCAGGACAAAAAAATGTTGATGTTAATTTTAATTTGATTTATCATCATTAGATCAATCAATAAAATAATTTTGAAACACTGATATTAACTATAATTTTATTTATCATCATCAGATCAATCAATAAAATAATTTTGAAACACTGATGTTAACTATAATTTTATTTATCATTAGTCCGATCAATAAAATTATTTTAAAACACCGATATATCACTATCACATCAATCGATAAATTAATGATTTAATTTTTAATTATTGAAAATCTTTTAGTTTCTAAAAATTAGATCAGAAATTACCAAAGTGAAGGTAAGTTTTTAAAAATTATTATATATTGGGTTAGAAACTATTAAAGCGATGATTAATTATTTTAAACTTGTAGGTTAGGCCAGAAATCACTAAAGCGAAGATAAGTTTTTAAAAGATTATTATATATTGGGTTAGAAACTATTGAAGTGATGGTTAATTATTTTAAACTTGTTATGGGTTAAGCCAGAAACTACCAAAGCGAAGGTAAGTTTTTAAATATTATTATATATTGGGTTAGAAACTATTAAAACGATAGTTAATTATTTTAAACTTGTTTGAATTAGGCCAGAAATTACTACCTAAAGTGAAAGTAAGTTTTTAAAAGATTATTATATATTGGGTTAGAAACTATTGAAGTGATAGTTAATTATTTTAAACTTGTTTAGATTGGGCCAGAAATCATCAAAGTGAAGGGAAGTTTTTAAAAGATTATTATATATTGAGTTAGAAACTATTGAAGTGATGGTTAATTATTTTAAACTTGTTTAGATTGGGCCAGAAATCATCAAAGCGAAGGTAAGTTTTTAAAAGATTATTATATATTGGATTAGAAACTATTGAAGCGATGGTTAATTATTTTAAACTTGTTATAGGTTGGGCCAGAAATCATCAAAGCAAAGGTAAGTTTTTAAAAGATTATTATATATTGAGTTAGAAACTATTGAAGAATGGTTAATTATTTTAAACTTGTTTGGATTAGGCCAGAAATCATCAAAGTGAAGGTAAGTTTTTAAAAGATTATTATATATTGGGTTAGAAACTATTGAAGCGATGGTTAATTATTTTAAACTTGTTATGGGTTAGGCCAGAAATCACCAAAGCAAAAGTAAGTTTTTAAAAGGTTATTATATATTGAGTTAGAAACTATTGAAGTGATGGTTAATTATTTTAAACTTGTTTGGATTAGACTGGAAATTATCAAAGTGAAGATAAGTTTTTAAAAGATTATTATATATTGGGTTAGAAATTATTGAAGCGATGGTTAATTATTTTAAACTTGTTTGGATTGGGTCAGAAATCATCAAAGTGAAGGTAAGTTTTTAAAAGATTATTATATATTGGGTTAGAAACTATTGAAGTGATAGTTAATTATTTTAAACTTGTTATGAGTTGGGCCAGAAACCACCAAAGTGAAGGTAAGTTTTTAAATATTATTATATATTGGGTTAGAAACTATTGAAGTGATGGTTAATTATTTTAAACTTGTTTGAATTGGGCTAGAAATCACTACCTAAAGTGAAGGTAAGTTTTTAAAAGATTATTATATATTGGGTTAGAAACTATTGAAGCGATAGTTAATTATTTTAAACTTGTT